CGGGAGCCAAATGACGATCTATCGAGGGACAATCGAGCTTCAAGGGATGACGAGAGTCGAAGGAGAGTCGACAACGCAGCTTCGAGGAAGATTCGACGACGATGATTGGATCAGGAGACGAGTTCGAGAGTCGTGAACGACGTGAGCTTAGCTCGAGGGAGAAACATTGAAAACCTTAGCCCTAATCTCCATTGGACTCGGATCTGAAAGAGAAAAGATGAGAGGAGCGCATCTCTTGGATCAATGAGGCGGCGGATTAGAGCAAAGGGAAAAAACTAGGTTCTTTATGTTTTAGTTATGAGGGATCTAGGAAAGTGTGGCTTGCTTGGTTGGTCCAGGTTATAAAACCATGCTCGGATTATTGTGTTTGTTTAGAATAATTAAGGGGCCACTTTAACGCTCTAAGTTTGCGGCTTTGGTTTTAGAAGAGAGCCTTAGTTTCTCAATTTGAAATTATAAACTTAGTTTAAAATTGCTACATTTATTAGTAAATAAACAAAGTAAATTGCTTATAGTTAATATAATTATTAATTTTAATATAATATATATATATATTAACTATTATATATGTCTATCAATGTATATATATATATATATATTTATATTATTAATATAGAGCCGTTTCGCGTACCCTACTTTTACATAATTGTCTTAAATTTTTTCTTTACTTTCCTGTCCTACCCTACCGCGTGTCCCGTTCCGTACCCGTGTACCTATCACCGCACATATTACAATATATGTAGTATGTATTCTAATGTATGTACTTATACTATATTCATTGATGTTTATATATATACCTACTTTACTTTATTATTATATAATAGTATCTATATATATCTATATATATATAGTATATATATATAACATATGTATGTAGTATGTATATATATGTATGTATGTTATATTATAGTAGTGTGTATACATAGTACAATACCATATATAATATATAGATATTATATATATATATATAACTTATATATATACTATAATATACTACAATATTATTATCATATATATGTATACTAATATGTATGATCTGTATATATGTTAGATATATAATAGTATATATATATATATATAGATATTATATATAATATATATATATATAAACAATATATATATTAATTAGATAGTATATGTACATATATTATATATAAATGTATGTATATTAGATATAGTGTATGTGGGTGATATATATATAGATATATATATATTATATATATATATATATATATGTATGTATGTATGTATGTATGTATGTATGTATGTAGTTAAAACATAGCTATATGTATATTACTATATATTTATAATATATATATATATATATATATATATAATATCTTATATATATATATATAATATATATATATATAATATATATATATATATGAGCATTAATGGCGTCAGTCATATGTCATATAGAGATTCCTCATATTACAATGGATGTGCACAATCTCCACCAAGTTGTATTTATTGAGGCATTCTCTTCCTACTTATCTTGGTGTGAGATTTTTCTTGTGCATCATTGTATATGAGCAGAATCCTCTCATATGACATATATACCCTTATATCTCTCTCTCTCTCTCTCTCCTATGTATATATATATATATATATATAATATATATATATATATATTATATATATATATATATATATATTATCACATGACTTGACTATTTCTTTTTAAATAAGAAAAAAGACAGTTGTCCCAAATAGTTTATTTTATAGAAAACTATCTTGAGATGTCGTAAAGCTACTCTTCCTGGGTGACAGGCAGCAGGAGTAAAGCGTCTTCTCTTCTGTGGTGTTGGTTGTCAAGTGCAAGGTATAAGCTTATTTTTTCCTTATTGCCGTTTTGTTCAGAGACCTCCTTCTTTGGTATAACTCCCGACTATTGAAATGCAGAATAATTTCTTAACTGCAGCACTGCGATCTGTAGAAAAATATCTTGGTCTGGAAAAGCTCTATGTGCTCGGCACCAACTGTGGTAATTAATAGTTTTATTCTTGTAACTTGTTTCTTAAAGAGATATCTGGGTTTGGACAGCCCTACGTGCATGTCACCAATTGTCATAATTGGTTCTTTTGTTCTTATCAATTAGTTTTTCTCGCTATTTTATCTTATTTTGAGGCATGTCTTCATCTTTACTTATAGATTTTGAGCTACTTGGATTCACAATGTTCTAGACTCGAGTAAATTGATTTACATTTATCTTATGATGCTAGTGGATAATGGAACTCGTGAAGGGCTAGACAAATTCTTGAAGGCTGCAAGCAAGGAGCCGGAAACTGTTTTGCATTATGAATTCATGCAAGATTACAAGGTTCTTATCAACCACATTGACGCCAAACACACTTGAGTACTTAATAGTTCTATTCTTATAAGAGGAATCTGTATATGAATTTTATACAATTTAATAGTTCAACATATTATTTGATTTCTAGTATTATATAACAATTTTTGCTACAATTCAACTTGTTAATCTACTTTTTATCATTATGTAAGTTTGCTATTGTTAAATTGTTAGCTGCAGTTTTGTCTGTGAAAATTTCAGGATTAAAACGATCAATTGCAAATAGAGCTACTATCATGATATTTTGAACCTAGGTTGTCTGTGTTAATGTTATACTAATGTCTCCTCCATGTTTATTCTCGTAAGGGATGTCCACCATGGACATCATAAGTAGATTCAACATACAGTGAGACCTGCTTGCAGTGGCTATCATTCTTGAATTTTTTAATTTACTTTTACTTTTTTTTGAAGGAAATTATCATCCAGTATATCTTGTATGAAATGAGACATCTTTGTTCTACAAGCTTTAAACTTAAGATCCTGTATTATTAGACATTTCTAATGCCCATTCCAATCCCATTATTCTAGATAATAATGTATATTATAAACATGAAAGAGTATTTAATTGAAGCTATTCTAACAGGTTCATTTAAAGCATTTGGATGGCCATATTGAAGAGGTAAATTGTCAGTTATTTTTTCCCCTCTACTTAACCTGTATCTGGTTTTTATTAATGCTTGAATATCTAAATTTTAGTTAGATGACATTTTAATGCTTCAGGTTCCTTATTTTTGCCTGCCAGCAAATGAATTAGTTGATGTCATCGCACCATCCTGTTACAGGTATCTTTAGTTCATATATTTCTTGTAGTTTGATATGTAATAAAAATCAACCGGAGATAATGGAATTATTATAAGACTGCAACCTATGATAAAAGCTTTTAGTAGTTGAAACTTTGGAGCAAGTAGTTTCTGGAGCATATGCTTTGTCAAACATGCTTTTGTAAGCTTGTTTATTTTAATACTTGGTCACTGTTTTGAGTGAGCTGTGAGTATAGTGCAGTTTGTTCATTTAGATTAACACAAAATTTATTAGCAAATGCATGTCTAGAATCTGATCCTACCATTCATCTGTATTTCTTGCAGCTGCTTTGACTACACAAACGGATTGGCGGTGAGTTTGCTTTTTAACTTGAACATACTTCATATGTTTATCAAGTAGGCAGGCTTGACTTCCAGCATAATTTCCCCCCTTCTATTACTGCCTTGTGACTTTTCTTTGTTTCATCATGAATCAAAATCACCCACTAATACATCTTTTTCTGCTATAGGCCTACATATTAGAACAACAATACTACAATTATGTTTGTCAGCCTAATCTTCTGGGGTGTACAAAAGTTTGGAGCTTTCAATTGTCTTATGTATAAACATTAGTTTTACAGAACGCCCTCTGGGGTCATTTGTGTGTGTCTAGTTGGATGGCTGATAAGTGATAACGGTGTGATGTCTAGTTTGGTTGACATTATTCTGGCGTAAGTTGGCGACATATTAAGGTTGAACGTTTCGAATTTTCTGTATTTAGAAACCAGTGTTTCTTGATTTTGTTCCTGTATTTTTGCTTGCTTTTGTTTACTATAGATATAGATGTATAGTACTCGTAGTGACAATATTATAACTCTAACCTGGCGTCTTTTTAATGCGTTGTGAAACTGAAAACTGTCAGGACTTGGTGGTTGGATATATGGGAGTGCCAAAATACTCTGGATTAAGAATGACAGAGCATCCACAATATATTACTGTCAGGTAACTACACAGTCGTTACTGGAATAGAAGTTGATTTGTTTATTCTCCCCCTCATGAATGCACTTTTAGAATTTTAACTAGATAAGGGTGAGTTTTATGAAGTAAATAATTCAAGTATTAGTAAGACAAATGGTGGGTAATGGTATTTCTTAATTGAGTTAAAACTGACGTTATCAGGGTCTTTAATACATGAATGTTGTTCTTTTATTTCTGCTGAGGACTTATTTATTATTAAGATTATGAATTTCTATGGCAGAAATGAACGTGGAAGGGAGATGCTTAATCTCGTGCAAAATCTATTGGAGGTCACCCCTACAACCAGCAGCGTATGGAAAATTTCCATGATTTCCAAGATAACATGAATCTGCTACATGTCTCAGATCCAAGTTGAAACTTCAATTTTGAAAATTGTTTTCTTCTTCTTCTTCTTCTTCTTCTTCTTCTTCTTTTCAGGGTATCAGGCAGCCATTTGTTATGGAGACAGTTAAAGCTGATGACCAAGCTAAGTTGGGTAAGGAATTGTGTTTTCTTTCAAAATCAAGATCATGTGAGCCTCTTTCTTCATGCAAAGGTTGCTTCGATTGTTGCCGAAGTGCATAACGGTCTAGATGACTCGAATCTTAGCCATGTATTAAGATGATCCCTAGCTGATTCTTTCAGTGCCCACAAATGACGTGTCTTTATCATATTTGACGCCTTCTTCCCTTGAAATGGAATCAGATGAGTGTAAAACTCCATAGCAAGAATGAATAAATTCTGTAACCTTAACTCTACTATTAATCCCTGATCCATTACCTCATTGTTAAGGGATTTAATCCATTTACCTCTTGACTGACTGGTGCGAATTTAGATGAAGACACAGGATTAAATGAATGGTGCAGTCATTCTTATTGATTGCAACAGTTTTAGAGCTTTTCCATTCACTGGCTGCCTAAAAACATGCACAAGCCTCTCCACTGTATCTGCTGTTTTGGTAGCTCCAACTTTGATAATTTTACAAGAGAGAACCTTAGAAATTATATGATGCTTTATATGATATCTGCTGCTATCTTGTTTCAGGAAAAGGCCCCTCTCAGCCTGCTCCAACATTCATCGGTAATCTAATAGCATATATCTTAAATCTGGTGAGTATAAATTCAAATTTCAAGTTATCCTCTTCGATTCAACTATTCACTTTTTCTGTATTTCTAAACACTTCAAAATTATAATTTGCTCACAGATTGGCCCTAAAGGTTTGGAGTTTGCACGTTATTCCCTAGATTACCATACTATAAGGAACTACTTGTATGTAAATCGTCAGTGGGGAAAACAAAGGTCTTGAACTAGATCTTCTATGTTTGCAGACTGGAAGCATTAGTTGCTAGAAATTCTCAGACTTATTGTTATTTTTCTCAACAGAGCTGATAGACATCTTCCCTCTTATGCAAAGAAAATTGTGGAAGCTTATAACGATAACGACCGTATCGATGAAATGCTGACAGAAAAACTGACATCTAAGTAGAGGTACTCAAATCTATACTCACGCTGTTTAATGGCTTTTACATTATTATTTCATGATGATCCTTATTCCTGCATTGCTTAATAGGTTTCAAAGGAGAGATCAGTTAAGCATCCTTGAAGCTGTATGTTTCTAGATTACATATTACCTTAAATTTCAGCACAACTGTTATTGTATATCAAAATAATTTCCCCTTTTTTAATGAGGGTATTAGGCTGAAGTTCAGCTGTCAATTAGATGTACAAAATGATGAGGGACATAATAGATTGTAATATTGGTGTTGTTTAGATAATTGTTTTGTTCATTGTACTAATTATAGAAGTAGATGTTTCATTTGCTGCTGAATGTTGATGCCTAAAAGATGATTCACCAGTTATCTGGATGTCAATGGGCTGACGATAGAATGTAACAGCCAAATTTCCTTGTACAATTAAATTCATCATATGGGCATCAAATTAACTGAGTGATAAATTGTTCAAGGAAATAGCACTCAAATCTAGATTACTATATAAATCCAAGCTCGTCAGCACGAAGGAGACGAAAGGAACACCTTCTCAAGGGCTAATTTGCTTGGAAAAAGACAGCAAAAGCTGACAAATAATCCAACCATTTCCTCACTTCAACAAATTCCGAGGGACGGTGCCGTGCTTCGTCGGTTAAGGATAGCACCGGTGTGATAATATTTGTTCTTGGTTAATATTCATATAGATTTGAAATTGATTATGTTCTTTTGAGGGTTTGATACTGATAAACATTCATTTAATTACACAATAAACGAATAAATTTAACTTACATAGGATACAACACTGCATATAAGGAGGGAGTACTCATGGCTATACAATGTACACACAACATACAGTGAGTCAGATCGCTTGCTGCTTCTGTATCAACCTAGTAAACTTTATATGTGCGCTCTCTAAAACGAAGCACACATAACTTCTATTTGTAGACACTACTTCTAGTAATATATCTCAGTTGCACACCATTTCAGAAGCTCCACGGCCACTGAGGTGCCTCGAAGTCGTCGATCTCAGCCTCGATCATCGGAATCTCTTGAAATACCTGCAGTCCGAAATCCTCCGCCTTGGGCAGGCTCATCACGTAATCATCCACCGTCGATCGGGGGCCCGACTCGGGTGTCAGA